ACCTGGCATGGAAAATGTACACAATCCAAGGAATGGTGAGAATAAAGAGAATGTAATGGCTGATATAATGTATTAATTACAGCGTACATATCCCATTTCCTCACCTGCATGCTGTTCATGGTGGCAACAGTGGCGCTGGATGCAGGGGTAGTGCGAGGGCAGATGAGGCCGGGATTGTTGCTGTAAAGCTCAGCCCAACTAGCTGCAGTCACCACTCCAGAGCCCGTAGACTCATCCTCACCAGACTGCATGCTCTGCTGCAACAGGTCCTCGCACGTATTCTGTGATGTGAGCATGCCGTACTGTTTGCACTGAGGAATGGTGTAGGCTAAAGTGGCGTTGCGCTCGATGCACAGAGAGCGGCCCGCCTAGATGGGCTCCGAGCAGTTCAGGCCGGGATTGAGAGCGGCAAGCTCAGTGGGTGTGAGCCCTAACTGCGTGCTGATAGAGGAACAGGTATCACCCTGGAAAATACAGTGAGAGGAGAGAAATGAAAGATGGCTTGTTGAAGGAGCACGGCACACTGAGGAAAAAGCTATAAATGTTGATTCAAAATGTGCTGCTGCTGCTGCTGGTGGGGTGTGCGCTGAGGGGTGGAATCGATGGTGGAAAGTTGCTCTTTGTTGGATCACCTTAAAGTGAAAACAAATTAATGAGACCACAAACTCACATCGAGGGCATAGAAGAAGGAAGTGCAGGAGGTGGTGGTAGCAGTGCTGCCCAACTGAATCACCTTGCCCAGAGGCAATGGCTGGCTGCAGTTAACGGTCTGCAACACATTAGAGAGATGGCAATGGATACGATTGTCTGATGAACATTGTGGCGTCAATTTTCAGAACAGAACATCCACAAACCCCATCATTACACACCTACAGTGGCACTGCACGCCAAGTTTCATGCAATGCGAGGAAGACAGCAGGGAAGACATCGGTGCACCACCAGTTGGACCCAGTGACAGCCAAAGTGGAGGCTGTGGTGTTGGCTGGAAGGAAGAAAGAAGTTGGTATGCAGGGACGTGAAGTTGCAGGGGAAAGGCGCATCAGACGTTCATCCAAGGGCGGAAATTGAGGCTTTCCTAGCATTGTCCCTAATAGCGTTCACGTCTTGACAGCTTACATCGAACCCACCAAGATGCATCAAACACACTGTTATGCAAATGAGCAGCACCTGGGTCACAGGTAGGAAAGTTGTCAGCGGTTCTGCTCTCAATGTAGTTGGGAGGGCAGATGCAGGAGTAGGCACCCTTGCCATCGTTTATGCATGTACCCGCAGCACAGGGGTTCATGGCGTACGAAGAACACATGTCAACTGTTGGGGGGATGTGGGGAGTGGAGGATGCGTTACAAGCAATAAAGTGCAGCATGCGAGAGATTTGCATGTGTTGAAAATGTTCGTTTAAGAGACTATGAAGGATTGATTTTCCATTTTAGGAAACCTCCCATAGTAATATTACAAGATGAGCAGTAAACTGTAGGCCTAAAAAAAACTTCTGCATATTCGTTACTCACCATATGCACAAGTGTTGGAACCCAATCCATTTGCCACTTCGACAAAGGGCTGATTGGATCCATTAGGTATGGTGCAGTTGCACGTGTTGCTGTTGGTCTTTGCGTTGGGCCGGCATGTAAAGCGGCCACAAGGGTTCATGCTGGGTTGCACTTCTCCATCGTTCTTGAAGCTCTTTTGGCTGCAGGGATCTTTGGAAACTGGAATGGTGGGGGCAAGGTAAGTGGAGGTGAGCTCATGGGGGACTTTGAATTTGAAGGCAGCACTGGTTGCTAAAAGATCCACATAACAAAGAGGCAAAATGACGTTGGAGTGGCCCTGATATGCGAACTAGTTTGCCCACAAGTATAGGATTGGTCTTTGCTAATGGTATGTGGAAAAATATAAGCGATGTATTTCTGTTTACAAATGTGGTAGATGCATTGCACTCTGCAAAGGGGTAGATGCCTTACTTTTGACAATGGGGTAGATGCCAGGGAGCATGTTGATGCCACATACGCCATCTCCTCCCTGAATGTCCATGCGCATATGCCCCCTGTCGCCAGTTCCTGAGCATGTCCTACCATTGTAATCAGAAAACTTTGCGACTGCTCCCGGCTTAGCTCCACCGTAGAAGCTTAAAGCTCCAGCACATGTCAGTGCTGGTGACACCAGCTTGAGCCTGCCAATCCTGCAGCTGTGAGAACTCAAGAACTCGTAGTCGGCCTTGAGGCATACCTGGCATGGAAAATGTACACAATCCAAGGAATGGTGAGAATAAAGAGAATGTAATGGCTGATATAATGTATTAATTACAGCGTACATATCCCATTTCCTCACCTGCACGCTGTTCATGGTGGCAACAGTGGCGCTGGATGCAGGGGTAGTGCGAGGGCAGATGAGGCCGGGATTGTTGCTGTAAAGCTCAGCCCAACTAGCTGCAGTCACCACTCCAGAGCCCGTAGACTCATCCTCACCAGACTGCATGCTCTGCTGCAACAGGTCCTCGCACGTATTCTGTGATGTGAGCATGCCGTACTGTTTGCACTGAGGAATGGTGTAGGCTAAAGTGGCGTTGCGCTCGATGCACAGAGAGCGGCCCGCCTAGATGGGCTCCGAGCAGTTCAGGCCGGGATTGAGAGCGGCAAGCTCAGTGGGTGTGAGCCCTAACTGCGTGCTGATAGAGGAACAGGTATCACCCTGGAAAATACAGTGAGAGGAGAGAAATGAAAGATGGCTTGTTGAAGGAGCACGGCACACTGAGGAAAAAGCTATAAATGTTGATTCAAAATGTGCTGCTGCTGCTGCTGGTGGGGTGTGCGCTGAGGGGTGGAATCGATGGTGGAAAGTTGCTCTTTGTTGGATCACCTTAAAGTGAAAACAAATTAATGAGACCACAAACTCACATCGAGGGCATAGAAGAAGGAAGTGCAGGAGGTGGTGGTAGCAGTGCTGCCCAACTGAATCACCTTGCCCAGAGGCAATGGCTGGCTGCAGTTAACGGTCTGCAACACATTAGAGAGATGGCAATGGATACGATTGTCTGATGAACATTGTGGCGTCAATTTTCAGAACAGAACATCCACAAACCCCATCATTACACACCTACAGTGGCACTGCACGCCAAGTTTCATGCAATGCGAGGAAGACAGCAGGGAAGACATCGGTGCACCACCAGTTGGACCCAGTGACAGCCAAAGTGGAGGCTGTGGTGTTGGCTGGAAGGAAGAAAGAAGTTGGTATGCAGGGACGTGAAGTTGCAGGGGAAAGGCGCATCAGACGTTCATCCAAGGGCGGAAATTGAGGCTTTCCTAGCATTGTCCCTAATAGCGTTCACGTCTTGACAGCTTACATCGAACCCACCAAGATGCATCAAACACACTGTTATGCAAATGAGCAGCACCTGGGTCACAGGTAGGAAAGTTGTCAGCGGTTCTGCTCTCAATGTAGTTGGGAGGGCAGATGCAGGAGTAGGCACCCTTGCCATCGTTTATGCATGTACCCGCAGCACAGGGGTTCATGGCGTACGAAGAACACATGTCAACTGTTGGGGGGATGTGGGGAGTGGAGGATGCGTTACAAGCAATAAAGTGCAGCATGCGAGAGATTTGCATGTGTTGAAAATGTTCGTTTAAGAGACTATGAAGGATTGATTTTCCATTTTAGGAAACCTCCCATAGTAATATTACAAGATGAGCAGTAAACTGTAGGCCTAAAAAAAACTTCTGCATATTCGTTACTCACCATATGCACAAGTGTTGGAACCCAATCCATTTGCCACTTCGACAAAGGGCTGATTGGATCCATTAGGTATGGTGCAGTTGCACGTGTTGCTGTTGGTCTTTGCGTTGGGCCGGCATGTAAAGCGGCCACAAGGGTTCATGCTGGGTTGCACTTCTCCATCGTTCTTGAAGCTCTTTTGGCTGCAGGGATCTTTGGAAACTGGAATGGTGGGGGCAAGGTAAGTGGAGGTGAGCTCATGGGGGACTTTGAATTTGAAGGCAGCACTGGTTGCTAAAAGATCCACATAACAAAGAGGCAAAATGACGTTGGAGTGGCCCTGATATGCGAACTAGTTTGCCCACAAGTATAGGATTGGTCTTTGCTAATGGTATGTGGAAAAATATAAGCGATGTATTTCTGTTTACAAATGTGGTAGATGCATTGCACTCTGCAAAGGGGTAGATGCCTTACTTTTGACAATGGGGTAGATGCCAGGGAGCATGTTGATGCCACATACGCCATCTCCTCCCTGAATGTCCATGCGCATATGCCCCCTGTCGCCCCACTTTGGCCCCCACGAGTTGCGGATGATCCAAAACGGTGGAGCACTGGGGCTTTCACGACCATCCTTTGTTGAGATGAGGTACCCAACGACGAGTACAGCATGATTGAGGTTGCCCGTGTAGCAAGAGGGATCCTGAACTTGAAGGTCTGGACAAGAGAGGAGAGGGAGATGATGGTGACAGATGGATAAGGACGCAGGAGGCATGTGGCCATTGGCAATGCTTACATTATGAACAAATCATACGTATTATGAACAGTTGAAGCACCCACTGGGCAAGCTCCCATGGGATGTCCATACAGAGGCTCACAGGGTCAAACTATTACATATGGAGTACCCACCCCGTCGTATTGAATGAATGTGAGTGCAGTGGCCTCGATGTGAACCACCACTGGCTGCCGCCGCACCGCCAGCATGAGCCCCACATACCCCTTGAACCGCGTGCGCTCAAACCCTTGGATGGGATACGTTGATGGCTGCAAATCACAAGTGCACGGAGAGTAAGAGAGTTTTTTTAGCATCACAATTTGTTGTAAGAAGGCTAGAGAATGGAAGAGGAAAATAAAAGAAGGAAACAAATAAAGAGAATTGTATTTGAATTAGTGTACATATCATGAACGGTGTTGACTAATGGAGGCAACAACATCATGTGATACACAACTGCATTGAATTTCACAGCTCTTAAGACTATTGTCTCATCGCTTGGTTGTGCTAGCACATGCTTGCAGGATCACATCGGACTTGCATATGATTTTTTGCACCGCGTCATTCCTACCGGCTTGCTGTCAGTGCTGAGTCCACCACGGGGAAGAGTGAGGAGCTTTTCAAATGCAGCAGCAGGAGAGTTCCCGGTGGTGCACTTGGCAGCAGGGGAGGTGAGCCCCATGGCTGCAAAGAGCGAGTCCACTGACAGCCGTGGAGCCTCCTGGTTCAGCGCAATGCCATATGCCGCCTCTACACTTGCCACAACCGCATAGGCCCAGCTCGCACCTGGAAAGAGCATGTCATCCCAGAGGATGACAGAGGAGGAGGTGCATGACAGAGGATGTCATCCCAGAAACCAACAATCAAGCAGCATTTTTCTCACGAGAGGAGGAACACAAGGCTCTTGACCACTCCTTTGATCGAGACAAAAGACCACAAAACACCAGTCACACAAATTTCACAACACAGCACAGCCACTCAGAGCCACAAAAGCTATCCCCGTTTCCACTTTCCCAGGCCCACTCACTGCAGTCTTTCTGGTTCTTTACGGGCCAGCCAAGGAAGGGCATGGAGTCCCAGGAGTGGGAGCTGCTGATGCGCCACCCATCGGGCTGGCTGGGCGACACTTGGTAGTCCGCACTCATGTAGCGCATGAAGGGACTGGCTCCTAGTGGCGCATATGATGCCGGCGAGAGAGTCAGGCCTAAGGCTGGGCAGGCCAAGGAGGGTGGGTTTTGAAAACGTAGTTGAATTGGGGATGGTGAGTGTTTGCGCACATGTGTATGTGTTGTTGTATTTGAATCGCTCCATTCAAGTGTATAATATATAAACACAAAGAGCAAGGTAACTGTGTGCTGCACTTACGCAAGGGACGTCTGCAGATCTATAAGCAACACAGCGGGATGTGTTGATCATAGATGCAAGGGCAAGCGGAATTCTTACCTGGAATAAGGGCCAGCGGAATATCCACTGGCTGATGTGGGGCAGGAAGGCCTGCATAAGGGTGGACACAAAGAGGAAACAACCAGATTAATGTCCACTGGCTGTATTGATCTAGAGCATGTTCAGATGAGACGGATTCAACTGGTTGACCACCACATTCATGTGCTGCCATTGATGGCACGACAAACCAGCCATGTGGGCAGCTGAACCAACAGGCTGAGGCTGAGGGTAACGGGTAGTAGCAGCAACGCATGTGATGAATACTAATCATAACAATGATAATGATAGAAGCACCAGCACCAGTAGCATGTAATTACCTGTGGTCATTGCCGAGCTAAGAATTAGATGCATCTGAAAAGGCTTCACAGTGGACGCCACAAAGCCAAAGAAAAACGCATTCTGCTCTGCTCCAGCCTGCAGCACCTCACACAGCGCCAACCTCCTCTCCAGCAGCGGCTCCTCTGGCTTCACCTGTGAGGCAGCCAGGAAAACCTGAATGGTGCCGGGATCCCCAGGCTCATAGTCCACCCATGCCGTGTATGCCTTCTTGCTGTTCAGCACAAATGGTGACTTCACAGCGGCGAGCGAAGTCTCCTGACCTCGAATATTCAACCCCACATGTTGGTTGCTCATATCCCCGTACTGCTTGTCCTGGAAAGTGTCAAATTCAACCGCCATGCTCCGGTTGTCCATTCCAGCATACCCCACACCAGTTCCATTCCCCACCCGGTCCGTTGCCGAAACAACAAAGGCAAAGCCGCTGTTGCCCACACGGCCAGATCGAGGCGAGAGGGAGAAGGTAAAGTTGGCCTGGAAGGCGAGCTGCACTCCACACCCAGACACCGCCTTCCCTGCCTCGTACACAAACAGAGTCACTGGAGTTGCAGTGAAGTTCCCGCCTGTCTCCTTCTGCGTCCCCTTGGTGAGCACGGTTGTTGGCGGAAGAATAGCCTGGTTGACGGAGTAGCTTCCGATATCGTGTGATGTAGGTGGAGAAGGAGAGTGAAACGTCAGGAGAGTGCACTAAGCTTCTGGCTCAATAGAGAGCAATGCCAGTGTTGCACCAACCAATAACCCCTTGCAGGAAACGTGCTCATGTCACATGTTATCTATTGTTTCTGCATTTCTACACTTGTAATTTCATGATGGAAAACGGTGCTCCTTACCTTCCGCAATACAGGTGATCCTTCCTGACTTGATGAACCCTGCATCGCACGCACAGCTTGCGGACATGCTAGCCCGGTCGGGAACGCAAATCCCTTTACCACCACAAGCAGAAGCAGTGGCAGCATCAGCAGATGCACCAGCGGCAACACTTCCACCAGCGGAGGACGAAGGTGCAGCAGAGGTGATGCCGCAGAATGCATTGCATGCTGCTTCCTGCCGCTGCACCACCTTGGCACAGCCAGGAGGCAGTGTGAAGCAGTTGGCATCGAAATTGCGGGCCTGGCAAGCCCCCTCGGGCAGAGGGCCTGAGAGGAAGTTGCTGGAGAGACGCAGGGTGCTGATGGCTGGCAGGTCGATGGGGCCTGTGAGATAGTTGCGGGAGAGATCGCTGGGAGAAGGAGGGGGACGGGTGGGGGGTGGGGTGGGGTGGGGGAAATAGGGGATGGAAAAAAATGAGGGAAAGGGATGCAAGGTTTGGGTAGAGAGGATGATTATATGTAGTGGAGTGGAGTGATGCCAGCAGATTGCCTATAAAGCCCACAGGTCAAGGGGATCACAAACAGTTTTCCTTGGGTGTTGGAATGTGGACCCACACAGCCTTGGCAGCTTGAAACTTTGTAGCATGCTACATTGCCAGGGCTCACGTATCGAAACCTTGTTGAAAAACTCTGTATGCCTGGATGCAACGTGGGAAAACTTGAACTTGGATTCACAGAACCAAATGACGTAGCCCTGAAGTACACTACTGAAGTAGCCCTGCCAGCCCAATTCCGTCTAGTATTCTCAAAAGCCGACAACTGCACGTTGAAATAAGCACTTCAGGTATGTATGTCTTGGGAGACCTAACGAACTGTGGAGCATTGAAAAGGTTTGGCCTGGCATGCAAAGAATCGTGTGGCTTACAGGTACGTGAGCTGTGTGAGCCGGGCGAAGCTGTCAGGGATGCGACCATACAGCTGGTTGGAGGCAAGCGACCTGGTGTCAATGGTTTGAGTGGAGGACAGTAGATGGATTAGCATAGAAGTGAAGGAATTTGATATACCGGTAAGGTAACATACCCTCCCCTCCCCTCGTGGAATCGCTTAAGACTGGACGTCCACCGTTGGGTGTTCTCTCCTTCGGTTGAGGGGTGGGTGGTGTTCAAGAGAGAGAAATATTCATGGTAACATGGAGCTTGTGAGTGTGACAGGGGTGAGATACGTGTGAGTGGCATAAAACCTGTAAGGAAATAACGTGATATACGCATAGCGTTCACCACATATTTGAATACTCGCACGTACTCTTTCGTTCACTATTCACTTCAGTTGGGAACTTCCCGGTATTCATGTTCAGCGAGAATCAAATTCATACTGTGCGTTGCTCGATTTACATGTGGGTTTAATGTCAATTAAATCGTCTGGTAATACACGTACAAACATGGCCAAATTCGATATATGCACTACTCGCACAACTTCCAGAAAAAGGGATTCATATTTACTCAACCTCGTGTTTGCATTTGTGTCATGCTGTGTGTTCACTTACAGATAACCCAGTTGAGAAAGGTCACCAAAGGTCTCAGGAATTGTTCCATCGAGAAGATTACGCTGCAGCCCCCTGTGAAATCCGTGAAAGACACAGAAGGGTAGAATAGACAGATCTGATAAGCTTAAGGGTGCAAACGTGTCTGTCCTTGGAAAATGACAGACGTTTAAGGGAGAATGCAGAAAATGATGACAAGAAAATATGATAAAAATGCATAAGACAGGCTGGTGAGTGACGGAATATTATCTGATGCACATACACAGAAGACATGCTGGTCAGTGTTACACTGGACATAAGATCATGAGCAGTATACGCGTGTTAAGCTGATAAAGGCTTAAAGCTGACAATTGGCACCACTATCAGTGGGCAATAGACTGAAGTAAAGATGGAATTAGCAGTACATGACAGTTAGGTTGCTGAGTGAGCCGATAGAATCTGGGATTTGTCCAGAGAGCTGGTTGCGAGACAATGCTCTGAAATGAGGGCAGGAGACGAGGAGATGGGACGACATAAGGTCTTGTTCATTCGTTCTTTCGATGTCTTGGCGGTGGCTGGATAGAGAAATGACGGTGAGGCGAGCATGGTGAGGGAAAGGGAGAGTGGACCGAGGAGAGGAGAGGAAGGACAACAAGTGGAGGGCAGGGGCAGGGGAAGGCATTACAGGACAGCGAGACTTGAGAGGGAACTAATGCTCAATGGAATAGAGCCAGTGAGTTGATTGTTGTCGAGAACCCTGAGAAATAAAAGAGGGTTTAGAGTGCAAGTTGCATGAAGGTGGGCCTTTTTTACACGGAACGATAATGTTGAGGGGGGATGGACACGGAATGAGGTGGGCCTTTTTTACGTTTCACCACAATACGGGCAACAAATATTCGTGATAACCATAAATATGTACACATTGACTGAAATCTCTGCACAGAGCTCGTAGATGATAGGGGCTAATACGAACCCTTACGAATTAGGATGTGTGAAGTCTGGACTACAGAAGGGCATGCATAATCCCATGGGGGTCAGCTAGGCAACTTACAAGCTTGTGAGTGCTGTAAGATCCGTTAGGGAGGATGGCAAGGGCCCTGACAGCTGGTTGGAGTCGAGATAGCTGTTAAGATTGATGGACAGAACGTGGGGGTTCAGCGAGGTGACATGACATGTGATCATCACAGCAGTCCAATCCTCATTACGACCTCGTTAGCATAGCATGGCTTCAATTCCAATTGGTCTGAGATTCCAGCTCAAAATGAGTTTGGTGAAGGCAATATGAAAGAACCAAGACATGGAACTGCCATGAGATCTGTCTTACAAAGACCTTTAGGTCGACGAGGAGTGATCGTAGCTCTGTCTATGTTCTCTATGACTTGTGTGCTCACACGGCAAAACAGCAGGAGTTTCACTATGAAAGTTGAGAATACAGAATGAAAAGCAATGGCAAAAGAATAACTACATCAGATGCTGTCAACTGAATTGTTGTTGGCCCCGTCCTCGCTTCGGCGGAGTAGACTTCGTAGTCGGGTGTGCGGGGAGCGTAGCCGATCAGCTGCAGTGGGCGACGCCGATTTGGGTGCGCAGGTCAGCGGGCTGGTCGACCTGTCCGAGGCCACTGCCACACCGCCGACGGTGAGGAGCCGGTGGTCGAACAGACCTTTAGGTCGACGAGGATGGACGCCAAGCTTGGGAGGCGTCGACGTCGACTTGGACAGGGGAGCTGGGGGGGCGCCGAGCTGGAGGGCGACGAGTTTGTTTGGTCGACCTGGCGGGACCGACCTGCAGGCGCCGACATCGTGGCGCCGGTCTGGTGGTCGTCGACCAGGGTGGTCATCGAGCACGAAGAAGTGGGTCACCAGGGTTGCCCGGTCGACCAGGTTACCTGGTCGACGGGTTTCTGCGGAGGCACGCGACGGTCGCCCAGGTGTTTGTGGCGAGGCCGACCTCGGTGTGGCATTCCGAGTTCGACGTGGAGGATCAGGTGCAGTCGTGGGTATGTGGTCAGCCCGGCATCTGCGCTGTGTACGTGACGGGGCACAGCACACCAACCAGCTGCGAGCATCTGCGAAGTGGGTGCGCTGCTGTCCTACGGGTGCAACGCCGTGTAGCCGCCTTGCTGAAGCATTGGCATGCCGTCGTCCTGCAGCGTTGGCAGACCGCGAATTTTCTCTGCTTGAGCGCGGTCGACCTTGTCGAGCTGGAACGCGGTCGACCGTGTTGCGCTGGCAGTCGATCAGCTTGCATGCTAGCATATGATGTAGTCATTATTGCTTTGCCATTGTGTACCATTGTTGTGAACTTTTGCTAGTGGAACTCTTGCCAAAATTCCCTATGAGCAAGCAAGTACTGCAAGCACAAGCAAACGACTAAAGAACGAACGCAGAGATCACTCCTACCCCGTGCCTACCCCGTAGTCTAGCTCCCATTGATAGAGTTATCTCCGCATGGTGCGGTGAGCGTGGACGGCATCGCAACGATACCTTCGGCTTAGCTGACTTTTGCACTGACTTATTGTGTTCGTAGGTCGGCAGCTGTGCGTTAGTCACCATGGTTGGCGTAGGTGACGCTGGTGTCGCTGACACCCTAGAGGCACAATGGAGGATGCGAGGAGATGCCACTTGGCTGGCGAGTATGGGGAGATGCTCCCCTTGGCGGTCGTCGAGGCAGGCATCTGCGCCGTGTGGGCGGCGGGGCACCCTCTTCAGCCAGCCTCTCCTCTACCGGTGGACACTGAAGGCGGCGTCGACGCCGGTGATCAAGTCGGCAGTAGTACGGGAGGCACGTCGAGGCAGAGAGGAGTGATTCACGCTGATAAAGTCGGCGGCATTCAGGCGCGAGGGCTGCAGTCGTCGGTGGCTGCAAGGTCCTCGCAGGGCGACGTCGGAGGACGTCGAACCAGTGGGACGCCGTCGTCGGCGACCCACGTGACGGCGGGTGGGATCGCGCCGACGTACGGCTACTTCAAATTCACGCCAGACAGAATCCCCGTCAGCCCCTGCTGGTCGGCCGCCACGACCTCCTCTCGTGGAAGGAGGCCATCGAGCCCCAGCTGGAGATGGCCGGCTTGATGTACTTCGCCGAAGGCAGCATGGAGACGCCGCCTGCGAGCAACACCCCACTGCCCGCGGATTTCCGCACCATGCATCTGCTCACCTTCACGGTTATCTCACGGTGCTGCTCGCCTGAGGTGCAGATAGCCTTGAAGTCGTGCAGGAGCTACTTGGACGCCGGCCACCAGGCGTGGATGTACCAGGTCACGGATGACCTGCACAGGCCAGCTGGAGGAGCAGATGACGCACCTGCGGATGGGCGAGCAGGCGACGGCGACCGACTATTGCAACCAAGCTCGGCAACTACTCGCCAACATGCGGATGGCCAGCGTGGAATACTCGACGGCATCCTACATCACGCACATCCTGAAGGGGCTCTCGAGCTGCTACAACATGATGAACCGGCTGTCGGTGGTGCTGGGCACGCGGGAGTCGCTCAACGAGGACTCCCTGAGCTTGTTCATCCTCGGGGACAAGGCGATGCAGGAGGCCGAGCGGTCCACAGAGCTCCTGACGCAGGTGAACTACGTCGCCCCGACGAAGCAAGGTGGTCGACCGGGGCAGCGAGGCCAGCCTGGTGGCAGTGGAAGCAGCGGTGGGAGGCCAGCCAAGGACACCGACAAGGCGAAGTTGGCCAAGGATGCTAGGCGTCGAGGAGGAAGTTGACGTCGGGAGTGCTGGCTGTACACAGCCCCGACCACCTCTCCTTCGAGTGCCCCGACCGCAGTGACTCCGACGACGACGACACCAAGGGAAGCCGAGGAAGGTCGGTCGGGCGTCGTCCTCGTCGAGAGAGTAAGCCGCGCAAGGAGAAGCATTCGACCAAGTCATTGGCGAAGGACGCCGACTCCTCCTCAGGCGGCAAAGGGCGAGGCGACAATGAGGCATCATGCTCGCTGGTCGGCATCATAGAGCCAACCGTCTCACTGGCGCCAGAGGCAGTCGAGGACTTCCAGGCGGTGGAGGCAGCTGTGCATGCGAACCCAACGGTGGTCCTGCTCGATAGCGGCTGCTCGCACCACCTGATGGGGATGAAGGGGGCCTTCGTCGACATGGAGCCGAGCGACGATGTTAAGCACGTTCGCGGCTTCAATGGGGCTCTGCAAGACGTCCGAGGCCGAGGCATTGTCAACCTGCAAGGAGAAGCCGGGAAGCAGGTGCTGATCTCGACGTGCTCTACGTCCCGGGCATGCAGGCGAACCTGCAAACAGCCGGCCAGCTGAAGGAGAATGGCGTGAAGCTGCAGGAGGACGGAGACGGGATGCTCCTTGTCTCGACTGCGGGGGGCGTGCTTGGTCAGGCGAAATATACAGGCCGGGTCCTCTGCACCGACGCACATTCGTGCACGGCGACGTCGACGTTGGACTCGTCGGAGATGGTGGCCTTGCGGGAGATCTTGTCGGCGACAAAGTCGCCGCCGGCCAGGTGGCATGCGAGGCTAGCGCACATCGGAGTCGACACCATCA